ATACTTTTTAAATTAATATTTGGCTTTCAATAATTAAAAGATATTTTTTTTCCATTTTAGGTACTTGTAAATTATTGATAAATTATTATTGGTGATTTACACTTACCTATAACATTATATTTCATAACACAGGGATTACATAGCTTTGCGATCGGTTCCCAATGTTCATTATATGACGATTGATTACTGAGACTCAATTCTGGAGTCAACAGATATTGTACGAATTCACCAAAACTGACATCGTTGCCATGCTCGATTGACTCATTTGATGCGCCAATCCGGAAGGCTTTAACAATTTGACGTCCAACGCGTGACTGAAAGTATCGCGCGCTCGCCGATTCACCTTCTAATTTATTGCGATAAGCGGAGAGTAGACGTTCGAATGGATGTCGCACCAATATGAAACGCGTATAATCAGAGAGCACTTTAGCACGTTCTGTCTCAGGTAGAGAGTTAAGCTTTTGAAACATACCAACCGAATGTGCTAATGAACCTGGTATTTGTAGTGGATCAGTACCATTTTGCCAAGCACCAGTGAGCAGCATGAGTACACGTTTCCAGTTTGTGCATGCCACCTGTGTGTGAAGTAAATCAGAAGAGAAAAAGATTCTATTAGTTAGAAGTTCGTTGCATTATAAACAAACAGTTTGTTTTCATTTCATTTGATTAGCATATCTAAAAATTTTTAAAGATACATAAATAGATATGTGTACTCTAACATATGTGTGTGTTCATACAATTCAGAGACATACATTTAGCAAGAACTGTAAAATAGTTTGTTTATTGCTGTTCTGTTTAAGTAAATAAAATCGGAATCCTGCTGTGAAAACGGTTTCGTACGATTTTGTTTCTCCAAAAACACAGCAATTTTTCATGCTAAGAACTACGTAAATTTTATTTATGTACATTTTACTGTCAATGTGTCGAAGATACGCAATGCAGGGGTTTAGATTGGCTGAGGAATAAATCAGATTTCCAAACATTTAATTTTAATAAAATGAACAATTTCATGTCTTTCGTATATGATTGGCCGCGTACTTCCCGAAAATCGCTATTGCGGTTCAATATATTACGGTTCAAAAATATTAAGCTATGCAAACAGTATTCACCTTGCATTAAGAAGATTTCGGAGTGGTATTAATTAATCTAAACAAAAATTGTATATACTAGTATACAATTTTCTAACGCATTGGTTAGTGGAAGTGGAATGGAGTTCCGAGAGATAGTCTTAAATGAAGAGTAAAAAGATTAAAAGATTAATTTAAAATTATTGTAAAATATATTAATTTATAGTAAAAAAACAGATGTTGGGACAGATGTTTTTTCTCCCTATTGCATTAGATACTTTTCGCTTTTGAAACTTAAATTTATAAAAAAATATTCAAGAGTTAAATATCTTATATGAAATACTGTTTCTATACGATTATATAAAGTAACAATTTCCACGCAAAAATAACGAATTCGTAGAGATTATGCAATTTTTTAGATTGTGCTGATTTTAGGATTTAGGTTTATCTCAATTTCTTTTCAAACTCTATAACAGAGATGCTATAAGATATAACTACAACTATTTGTGGTTCCCGGGTTTATTTCCCGGAGCCATACATCAGCATAGACGAACAAGTGGTGCTAACTTTTACCATCAAGGACACACAAAGATCACCTGTATATGCTACAAACAACAACAATAATTTTGTGTAGTACTAATCAGTCTAACATTTTCCATTTATCTACTCTACTCCCTCGCTATAAAACGTAGAACCATTTAAAAATATAATTGTTAGTATAGATCACCTCCTCTTAACTACTTTAAGGACATAATAATGGACAATACTTGTCTCCAAATATACGTGTTGATGTTCGCATTCTTCATTACTCCAATTAGCTATCAATATGTTGTACCAAATATTAATAAATCATTAAAACATCTTGTAATCAGATGGACTTATTCATTACCGAAACTTTGGTAGTTCTTAAAGTCCACACATCTGCACAGTTATAGTTCATACATTTAAAAATCTCATAATATTTCAAATCTATTTAGTATATTTATTATTATTTTATTTTATATAATAGTCGTTCCCCATTACAATTAGTAATGGGATTTACATAAACCCGTGATAGAAACCGTATTGTGATAGAAACTTACTGGCATAAATTTTAAAACGATTTTTTCACACTTTTTGATATCATATCTTTTAGACGAATCTTCCTAATTTGTAAATATAAGTCCATCAATCCATTAAAAGAACATAAAGAGATGGGTCAATTTAGATTAGTATTTTAGTATTTCGATTACACCAAAGTAAAATTCGAAATCTCTCTTAGAGATGTCCCGTAGAGATATCAGTCTTGTAATAGGTTTACTAACAGCTCATTGTATTCTAGGTAATCATGCTAGAAGACTGAATCTACCTTACAACCATTTTTGTTGCAGTTGTGGTGAGGTGAGAATGACGAAAGTGCCTCCCCCCTGCTTTGTTTCTGTCCGGCAAATGCGCGGCGTCGCCTTAAATTTTTTTGATGAACTTCGAGAGCTCCCTCTATGTTATATAGCATTATAAGCTTTATTAAAGGTTCTAGATAGTTTTAGCCCATGCGATCTCAATAATACGGTATCACAATGGGCCTATAGGCCTAAGTGAATCCCCCTGGAATCGACGGTACAACCTAACCTAACCTAAGATTCTTTCTATTCTCTTAAAAGAAGTTAAATTAAAATTTAGTTATTCCCTAATTGTTACCAAGTCATTTACTATTTTTACCTCATAATATATACCTATAATATTATAAATTCAAAATTTTGATGACCACGATTCTGACTAATCATTTACAAAATTCGAACATTGAATTTTTCCATTATTAGTGATTGATGTGTGTAGGTAATATTTGGAATTATTCACTTTGCAAAACTATTGATAAGAAATTTAACAAGAATTTTAAAGTGAAAAAATATTTTATCAAAAATTTGAAAACTAGTCACTTTCAATTTCTGGTTCAATAGCTTTGATAGATAGGCAGGTGTTAATGTTTCGTTAAGTGAAACATAATATGTTCAATGGATTTACAAAGAAAACAATTAGAGTACTTCATAGAAGACTTCTGTTTACATTATTACTTAGTATTTTTTATAGAACTTGTTTCAGATACTTTAAAGATACACGTATACTGATAGCTATTATCTATTCCCTAGCCTAAGAATTTCATTTCATTTCTAATTCTTGGAATGTATTTACAAAGCTTCGTCATCAACCTCATAAATATATATAAAAATTTTAATTATCGAACTCTATTCAGGTACATTTTGAACTTCATATTGAAATGATAATAGAATTAAGGATAGGTCAGTGCTGGTTATTATCAGTATTGCTACGATAAAACTTTAGAAATTTCGATTTGTGGTCGGTAAAAATGTGCTCTGGGTAAGTAAAGCAAAATGCGCAGTCTATATAGGTATTAAAGAGAAAGTCTATAATATAGTAAAGTATAGTATAGAAAAAGAAACAAACCCTTAATATTTACTAAAGTAACTAAGTCTATTATTAAGGGTAGTCTTATTACAAAGTGCGCTTGTGTCTTGATAACGATATTCTTTGAAAAAAAAAATATATCTTAAGAAAAATAATTATAAAATTAAGTATTTTAACTTAATATACACCATAATATTGCAAAATCTTACAAGGCTATCATTGGGAAGGAATTTCTGAGTAACAACTTAAAACTCACCACTTAATTTCGCCAACAGCAAACGTACTCTCTGATATAGATCCTGCCCAAGCGTTTCCATTTCTAAATCTCATATTTCTACTTTGAAGCACAAAGAGAAAAGTTAATCATTTAATTAATTTAGCTTTTGTTGTTGTCTTTTCATTTTTATTCAAACTTCTATTCGGCAAAAAAAAAGTTAACATTAAAAACAAAATTTGATGTTTCGATGGCGGAATTATACGTCTCCACCTTTTTATTTTGGAAGGGGTCTTTTTTGAAAGTGATATAATGAGTTTCGATGACAAACACATATTTTGTGATTCATTGCCTGATGTCCGGTACTTGAGATCATAATATAAATTAAGTTCTGTAGTTCTGTAACATTATCTTCCATCTGCGAATCCATCATTTTTTTTTTTAAATTAAATTAAAATATTTAAATAAAAAAATATTAAAAATGATTTTTAAATTAACTTTAATATGGGCTAACTTGGGCTAACTTATATATACTCATATGTAGACATATGTACACAGAATTACTAAAAAAATCGCAGTTCATACATTGGTAATGTCAATAAGTTGTTTGACTTGTTGCTAAAAATAGAAAAATGTTGTAAGCGGGTTATTTAATGGGTCAGCAAGGTCTGCCTTAACATCTGAGCAAAATGGATCGAACTACGGAGACAGAATATTGAATCTACTTGGTAGTAACTGAGACTTGTAGTCATATTTTCAATAACTGTTCGGCTTTGATCAGGGTCAAGAAGAGATTCTTGGACTAAGAATTCATATTCTGGTCGAAAATTAGAATACCATCAAGGGTTGACATTTTGTCCATACTTATGGTCAAGGTCGGTTGGAAGCCAGCATCATGTTTATTCTTATCTTATCATTTCTTAGCAATGACAATGCAAGCTGTTGAAGATTATTGAAGCAAGATAATAATTAATAAAAAAAAAATAAGAAAATAAAAGTACGGCTTAAACTTACTTAATGTTGAAAATATATATAATAAGAAAAAATTTCATTCCAATGTTTATACTCCTATAAAACTTTTTCTATGCTAAAAGGCGGAATGTATATAAAGTTAAGTTCAGGAAAATACAAAATTATATAGAAAAGCTTAAAACAGATATATATATATATATATATGTTTAAAACGATAACTTATTAAGTTGGATACTTTGCCAAGTATCCATGTACAGAAAGAAAGCTGTTTATTTTTATTACTTGGTTTTTAACTATATTCATATTTATTATGCAATATACTTTACTGGTATTTTATTTATTTTATTATTATTTTTTATTTTGTTTATTTAAAATTATAAAAATAAAAAGCACTTTACACGTGTGTAATGTAATAGCACTTGAAATTGCTCTGAGTATCTTTGTCTTGCAAAACGTGATCTCAAATTGTCTGAATTAACTGTGTGATGATTTAGTGAACAGACGATGCAGACAGAGTCGGCAACTTTTGGTCTCTGACGACTTTAATTAATGTGCGAAAGTCGAGAAATTTTTTAATACTAAAAATATTTACAAGTTTTAGGTCTTAAATTAAATTTATTTTATTTCCTCTTCAAGATTTTTATTTTAAAAATTTACGTTGCATTTAAATTTAACATGGCAGCAGATGTGGACATTGAATACTGATGCGATTCAACTTGGAATAGAAATTTTAGATTTAAGAGAAGAGAACACAAAATTTTTTTTATAGAACCCAAATATATCTATGCTTCACATCTTGAATTTTAATTACATTTAATTATAATTTTAATATTTTCTTTTTAATTAATTATTTTTATAATTGTATTTTAGTATTCTTTGAGTTTTTTGGTACTACACAAATATTTTTTTAGGTCTATTA